GGCTCATTAAAGCAGCTGCCGCCCCCCCCCCCCAATCGAGACACATTCTCCAATTTTAACATACTATGTATTAAAAATATGTTTGTTTTCATAAGTTAATATTATTATATATTAAAGTTCAATGTATAGTTAGGCGTAGGTTATGTTAAGCGTTTAGGTTCTTGGCGATTACTTGTATTTGTGGTACGCAACCCGTCCTCAGACTAAGTCCATTCCATCCAGCGGTCGACCACAAATAAGCATTCATAAATTTTAACATGCTGTTCATTGAATTCTCGCATGCTGTCTCCTTATGAGCGGAGACAGCTTGCGAGACTCTACTCATAAGGCGCAAATTGATTTCTCTAATACACACGAAACCTTATGTGTAGCGACAATTAATTATCGTCTCTCAAATGCACGAAATTCCTACACAGACTGATGACCATTACAATACTAATTATAATTGGGCGCTGAATAGCTTGGAGGCGGCGCTTTCCATGTAATGGTATATTTTAGTAATGGTATAAGTTAATCTCATATGACAGCGAGTCTAGTAATTTTTTAACCTTCCCATAATGTACATTGTACTTACTATAATATTATATTTTTACCACTCATCTAAACATAAATTCAATTACATATATTTTTTCTTCTACTGCGAGTATTTTTATTATAAGTTGATCTTTATATTTCGAATTCACACTGGTTAGGTTTAAGTAGCATTATGAAGACTATAATTTCCTGCTAGGCTGCAGGTGAGTTGCCAAACTGCGCTTGTCCGTGTAAACTCACAGGATGCGACCTTCAACTTCATGTGCAAATATGTAGATATTTGTGTGGTCGCCAAAGCTCCAGAAAGAAAAAAATCCCAGAAATGCTTTTAGTTTGCTTAATGAGTACGGAAGGAGTAGAAAGGGAGCGACTACCTAGTGGCTTTAGGTATTGTATGTACTAGCTTTGTCTATAAATCCAACATTATGTTTGTAACTCTTCATCAATGTATGTACTTTTACCTGAATACAAATTTGAATTTGAATTTGACTGGAAAAACACTAGGTTCAAGTTCAAGTACGTTTATTGAGACAATAAAATACATCTCAAAGGGATAGAGTAGTTTAGGCTATTTCTACCCCCCCCCCAAAAAAAAAACAACACTAGGCTTTTACCCGTGTCTCCCACTGCGGGTCTTAAATCTGAATAACTCAATATTGGCTTAATTTACAAACGAATAACTTGCCCACCGAATGTATTTGTGTAGAGTTGTGAAGCGCTCCGTACTACTTCAACGCAATTTATGATCTCTCTAGAATTCATAATAAAATATTAAATTATTGCCCTAAACTACTTGTATTGTGCCCGTAGTCGAAAAATTAAATTAAAAACAAAAAGAGTTGTGTTGAATCTGTTTTTAGAACTTCAAATGCAATGGGTATAAAAACAGATTAATTTCATCGCATTTTTAGGAATAACAATGTCCAGACTGTGAAGGGTCCGGAACAGTCACTCCCGCAGCTCTCTACCTCCCAGGCGTTCCATACTTACTGTAACACGGGTTAATCACGGGAAGTGCCTGTCACTCAAACCCTGCTTCTCTCCACTGCCCAAGCATTTATACACTGCTTCACCCATTTCACCCGCTCCTGTGCCAGGTAAGTCCACTACGGGTTCACCATAGCCCGTGCTGCTTGGAACTTTTTGTTCCCGGTTTGCTGAATCTATAACAACAACAACCCATTTCACTCTATAGCTTTAACCTGCGGAAACCGTGATGCATACTGCTTTCCTCGATCAAATATTTGACAAATTACTTTTTTGCTAAAGTATAAAATTACTCTAAACTCTAATGTGGTTCCTTGCTGATTGATGTAAATCTTTTCAAGTCGTACTTTGCAAGAAGCGTGCACATCCCCAGGATAACGTATTTAGAGCTGTCGTGAGCGTCACTGAAGGAATAAGTGTGTACATGCCGCAGGCTATTTAGATATCAAGTGGGCGGGCCAAACCGTAGGGGGGTAATAAGCTTGTCATCTGCATATCTGGGGCGAGGAAACCATATCTTGGAGTAGAGCTTGATGATGCTATAATACTCATATTACGATGAAGGCTGGATGGTCATCGAAATGCCAGAATGCTCATACTTAACTTACACTATCTTTATCTCGTGTTGCCATACTATTGTATTTATTAATATATACACAAGAGTTCTTACATTCTTGTACAGCCACTAGCACGCATAGCGTTTCGGGCAAATCCTTAATCCTAATTTTCACACACACACCCAGGTACTTATTTACTGCTAGGTGAACAGGGACATCAGGGTGAAAGAAACTCTGCCCATTTGTTTCCGCCTCCACCAGGGGATCGAACCCAGACCCTTGGGACTACGAACACCGAGCGCTGTCCATTCAGCCGTCAGGCCCCTGCAGGGTGATGAATACTGTGACAATACAGGATCCTTTTCGCAAGCAATAATACCATTATCGTATCATAATATCATAATAGGGCGATAGCAGCCATTAATATTAATAACAGTATCAATAACAATACTGTAGCAGTGTAACATAAAGGGTGCTTTATCCGATATACGAAAACTTTAAATCATGGTTTGTGTCTCGGAGAGGCTGCAGGGTCCAAGTAAGGGCAGTAGAACTTCTGGTTGCAATTCTTTTTACCATGTCGTAGCGCAGTCGATTAAGGCAGCGTCTGGGATGCTCTCGGACGTAGGTTCGAACCCTCGTCACGGCCCTTGTGGATTTGTTCATCTTAGTGATTACTATATATGATTGGCACGTTTACAAAGTTAAGTGTTATGGAGGTAGTTCAATTATAGCTCAGGGTTATTTATTTATTTATTTAAATGCGTGCAGAAATTAAGCTTACATTTCTGTTAAAATAAAAACACTCAAGTCCTCCCCATTTTTATTTTAATCGTTACACATCTGGAAGAGAATCCTAATAAAAAGAGTTGAATCTCCCTCTTTACCTTATAGTGTTTATAGTTTTTATTTTCTCTTAATAAAGACCAACTTGAAGAGCTCAATAAAGCTATACCTGGTTCAGTAAAAAGGAGTGTTCAGTTCACCCAGGTTTAAACTTTGGTAACAGCGGCTGTGAACGGAATACCGGTCATGTTCATCAGTCTTGCTCTTTACCCTTATGATCTCACAGCTTCTCTTTGATGCTCAGACCTTCATTAACAATTTGGCCTTCTGATACGACTGAGGATCTCCGATGGTTTGCCTTCCTAATAATCTTACCATAATCATCTGCTTGCCAAGTGATTTGATTAATATCTTAATTAGGAGTTAAGAGTGCAGAGTTGACTGGTTATTTGTATATTTATAACTAGACGAACGATTTTTTCGCGTCAATAGTCCACTAAGAGGGAATCAGTCATATATAATATGACATCCTCTGATTCACGCGAATTGAAGATAAATATGCCAAGCTTTCTAAAATAACACACTGATTGTAATACATGTTATACAATTATTTTAAATTGGCGGAAGTGATACGACTGCAGGGATGCGAGGTGCTAATCCAGGATAAGCTTTAACCAAGTTAATCACTTACGTCGATATTTCAGGGTCTGCTTTGACCAAGTTAATCCCTTACGCCGATAATCCAGGCCCAGCTTTAAACAATGCATCCGTTTGTGTTCTAAAACCTCTTAATCCAATTCCTTTTAAATGAGGATGGTGTTGTTAAAGATTTGCTACCTGGAATAAAGTTCCAAGTAGCACGGGCTATGGTGAGCCCGTCTTAAATGAGGAGTGCCACTGTCCTTTTTCTGTATTATTCGACATTCTCTGCAAATATTACATTTTAAATCACCTCAGTGACTTTGTTTACAACAAAATTATCGCATAAGATTCCTCATCTCTGATCTTTTCTTTCGTTTGCTTTGTGACTCGTCATAACTGGTATACCAGTAGTTGAGGTTCATCTTTGATGTTAGTGTTTACTATATCCTCAGTGCTTGGGGGGTTGAGCTTCGGCTCTTTGGTCCCGCCTCTCAACTGTCAATCAACTGGTGTACAGGTTCCTGAGCCTACTGGGCTCTATCATATCTACACTTGAAACTGTGTATGGAGTCAGCCTCCACCACATCACTGCCTAATGCATTCCATTTGTCAACTACTCTGAAGGAGTTGTGTGTGTGTGTACTCACCTAATTGTGTGTGTGTGTGTGTTTCTTTGTGGACTTTATGAAATGTAATCTGCTGTACTCACTATACTATGTAGGCATGATATCATAAAACAATGAAATACAACTAATTACTCAGTTTTACTTCCTGAAGTGCAAATAGACAAGCCTCATATCTACCTATCTTGGGTAAGATCAACACTGTTCTTATCAGAACTTTCTGGTGGCTACGAGTAAAAGACAAAAAGAACATTAAAACAGTCTCCACTAAGAAGTTTTAAAAGAAGTGCTTCCCTGTTTAGTTCGAAAATTTATCTGACGTTCAATACTCCTTTTGCCTGACTATTTGAACACTTATTGCTTTGTCCGTCTGAGAGTTTGTTCTTGTGCTTCTCTATATATCTCTTAAGTCCGTCCAACCAGAAACAACTTAAAACATTTTTTTTGAGATATATACAAGAGTTGTTACATTCTTGTACAGCCACTAGTACGCGTAGCGTTTCGGGCAGGTCCCTGGAATACGATCCCCGCCGCGAAGAATCGTTGTTACAACCAAGTACACATTTTACTGTTGAGTTAAACAGAGGCTACAGTTAAGGATTTGCGCCCAGTAAATCCTCCCCGGCCAGGATACGAACCCATGACAATGCGCTCGCGGAACACCACGGGGACTGGTAAAATGTTATTTTACATTAAAGGTAATTATGTTAGATAACAAATGTACAGAACACTACTGGAGTATTGCGTGCTATTGCACAGAATAACCTTGTTAGAATCTGTCTGGCGGTTTGGTTTGGGCAAAGCAGTAGTCACTGCCTCAGTCCAGGCTTCTGCTGTGCGAAGATTATACAAAAGACTTGATCTCCCGCAGGCGAGCGACACAGTGTTCGCTGTGAGCCGGGCCATCACTACCGTGCTAAGGTACTCCACCAACACAACTTTCATCAGAGCCACTCTCGCTCGTCTCAAGGTAGGTTAAAGTCTTTTAAACTGATTAGCTTTATCGACAAGTATTATTGGAGAAACATTGGTATAATCAGCTAACGATTAATTTAAATACACTATGAAATTTTGTTTGTGTATTTATAATTCACTACAACTGCTCATTACTTATATCAGTAGAAAATACTAGTAAATAACATGCAGGAACATAAAGTAATGAATATTTGTCACACATCTTGTCATTATAGTGTCCCAAACGTTTCGTCTGGTTGGCTACATTTTTACCAGGGTTTCCCCTCTTGACCATTTTCTTTCCCTTCCCACTATTCAGGTTAATACGCCAGAGGAGGCGGAGAAGCGGCTGAGCCGGCACCTGTGGGCGATGTTACACAGGCACCAAGGCGCCGACATCCCCCCGGAGGTGGCTGAAGAGATCTCTACACTACCTCTCCAGGAGCACACTAACCACAGTCGAATTACCACTGAACTTGACGACTCTCCAGACAATACCACTACAAGAGAATTCGCTATGTTTAATGAGGGAAATTATAACGATGCGTTAATCTTTCCTCATGAAGTTGAGAACCTGAGCCTAGACCTGATGGATGATGGGACTCTTGGGGCAACGTTCGAAGGACTTCACCAAGAGGTCCCTCCTGGAGACAGCACATCGTTACTTGTAAACAATTCTTCCTCTCGAACACAGCCTAGTGATTCTGGGATTCAGCGAGAAGAAATCATCCCCCACTGGCTGCAAGTTGACTCGGAGACGACTCGTGAGCAGAGAGTAAACAATGAGATAATATCCCAATACAATAACGAGCTAAACATTTACCAAGATGACAGGAGGCAAGAATCTAGTTATGAAGATCGTGATTTCTACGAGGATACCGGTGATAAATTTCTACTTTCAAGCATTCGTGACTCAACTTTCTTTGATTCCCCAATTTCACCTGGACTGGGATGTCTTGAAGAAAGTCAATTCTTTGAGGACGCTCTCCATGATGCAGATGTTCATGATTCCGGCGGTAGTGGTAAGAAAATACAAGATGACCGTTCGAGCTCATCTAGAAATATAATTGAACAAGCACTTTCCTTGCTCTCGTGTACTTTAGATCGCGAAGAACCACGTGTATCTCAAAGTGACTTGATCGAAGCAGCCATTTCTGGACTATCAGAGAATCTGAACGAAAGCGTATCTCAGTCAACTCATATTTTGCAACATCAACCACACGTCAAGTCTCAAACATCCACGCCACCATCGCAGAACTCTTCCCAGAAATCTCGTCTTTCGCGAACCACACCTGTCTCTCAAGATGTTTCTAATGCAATTAATCCTTCTCAGTTAACAACATCGTTCCATATTACCGATGAGTTTATTCCACCCGGAGACAAGATAGTGAGTTTAGGATCACCGCAAGACAATCAAAATCGTGACAAGATTCAGGACTCCACTTCTGCTTTACACGAAAGTATTGGATCGTGCCTTGTTAGCAACGAACTCGTTAATTGCGTTACAGAAAGAGGTTTGGATCACACCGTCCAAACAGGGCAAGTGGAAGCCACCAGTGACGGAGATAACGAATCGGTAGTTGTTGTCTCCGAGAATCTAGAGGAATCATCCATAATTCTCAGTGGAGAGTCTGAATGCTTTGACATATCTGATATTTCTGATACTGACAGTGCTTCACTGGGAAAAGATTTACTATCAAGCAAGACTGATCAAGCAAAAATGACTTCACCTGCATCAAGAAATGTTCCTGAAGCTGGAGCCACTTCTGAGTTTGGTGAAAATGACGGTCAAGTTCAGGAAATCCAATATATAAAAGTTGTGTCTGCGGGTGAAAGAAATGCCCCACAAAGTGTGTTTCTATATAAGAGTTCACCAGCAGTTAAATGTAATACAATGACTGCCATATGCAACCAGAATCTTTCTTTGCAAAATAATGTTGTTTCTCAGTCATATCGTGAAGAACAGGTATTATGCGACAGAAAATTACCATCGAATGCGTCTTCTAAGATTCCGGGAACATTAGTAAATTCTCCATCTCATCAGTTTTTTCCGCAATTACCACCAGTTAATGAGCCACGTCCTCATGATAAGATGGCGTCACCAAATGAAAGATGCACACAGGATTCTCCTTCTATAAGGGTCTCCATATCTACACTATCTTCAGCTGCAAATAACGTCCTTTGTTCACCACCTTCTTCCCCGCCTCCACCTAAAAGGTTGTTGTTGCTCCAGAGCCTTGATATAGCGACCCAAGCACCGACCTGTACACACACACAGGATTCAGCGAACGAGCAAGAAACTCGACTCTCGTGTGAACAAGACTCATCAGGTTCGAACACAAATGACAATGGAGTTTCACGACGTCCACATCAAAGTCACCATGTCGTGCTAAAACAGTTTCCTGAAGAGGTCTCATCAAACTTAACTTTACACCATGAAGATAAATCATACTTTTCCTCTGAGATGTCATTACACCTTAATGAAAATGGCACAGCATCAGCACAAATATTGTCTCGACAGACTGTTACAAATGAACACAACAGAGATGGAAGATTGTCACAATATTCACACAATAATTGCAGCGGATTTCTACAAAGCCTTCACGTAGAGACTATACCAGACCTACACAATGACCGCGTGTCGGAGGCCTCATGCGAGCACACGTCAGCCGGTGATTCGACTGAAGATGATAATTCTGAGTCACTACTGGAAGGCATGACAATTGACCCGGTGCGTACAGCCTTATCTTACGCCAGACTCTTATCTAATTGTGCCAGTTCATGTGAAAATATAAATGTTACCCAAGAGGTCAATGAGTTTGAGGACAACGACATTAATGATCCTTCTAGTTTCCTTCCAGTTTCAATTAATCAAAATGTTGAAAATACAACCAAGTCATTGATTAATCTAACAGGAAATACAAAGGATCTGTGCAAAACTATATCTTCTGAAGCTATGGCACCAAAGAATCCCATAAAACAAACACATAGTCTAGTCCAGGATAATCCTTTACAAGCATCATCTCCAATTGGATTTGTATCTGGGCGGCAGGAGCAGCTACTGAAGAACACTATCATGTTGGATAACGCCACGGGTGAGGACATAGCTCCTTCATCCTCCAATACCCCAAATAATGAAGGTCAAGAATGCCCTGCTGGTAATCAATTACCGATTTTACATGAGTATAAAACAGGCCAACAATTGAACGATCTTGTAGGCCAAAACGGTATTTCAGGCGACCATACTGTGTCCGTGGTGAGAGAATTACAAGATGGAACAAGTGATGTTACCGTGCCTGATGTGAACTCACCCCAGCTCTTGGTTCACGAGGAGGGACACCTTCAAACCACAGTACCAAGAGACAACTTACCCGCAAAAGTACAATTCTTTAATATGTTTGTTAAACCACCTGATGGAGATGCTCCGCAGGATAATATCTCAGGAACTGGTCAGGAAGACAATGAGTTACAAGTAGTACCAATAACTGACAGCAAGCAGCTGCATGTCGAAACACCTGAAGATGATTTACATAACAGACGCACATCTACCAATAAGATGAATGACGCAGAAACACCAGGAGACTTGCTGGGAACTAAACAAGTGCAAAAAGGCAATTTAACTAAAGTTGCGCAACTAAGAAATACTATAACCCAACCACCCGTGGCTCGTGTTGCATTAACTGGCGATCATTTGACTAAAGTACCACTTACAGAGCTCACAAAGCAAGACTATGGCATAGTTAATAAGGCCAATGACCAACCAGCGGATATACCATTAAGTGGCGACGCGCTAGAAGCAACTATGTCAGTAATTCAGCTTCCGGAAATTGCAATGGCAGAGGATGAATTATGGGAAACAAACATTCCTGAAGTTATAATACCTGATGATCATTTTGATCAAATAACTGTACCATATTCTCGTATAAATGAAAGTGTAGAAAAATCTATAAATGTGAAAAAACCCACACAGGAAATATTTATACCTGATGTTACTATGCAAGATGGCCAACAAGAAGTGCTTGTAATCGAAGGCACGATACCTCCGGACTTTACCATGATGGAAGATCAGGGAGTAGATGATGATCCATCACTACAGCTTTACGCTCTTCCGGAACCCTCCACTGAGGCCATGCCACTCTTTGAGACGGAAGCATCGAGGCTTACCAGAGAGGATACCAGAGAGGATACCAAAGAGGTGATCAACCTCGAGTCTGACCCGACAACACGGAAAGTGTCCGCAGACAGAGTTATTGACTCGTTTTGTAATGGAGAAGGATCAGGTGAGGTCTCCATGCTCGATATTGATTCCTCTGATCACGAACTTTCTCTAAGTTTAGATTACGACTCTGATGATTTTATTTGGTGACCTTAAGTCACCGTAACATATACTCTTTTGGGTTTTACACAGGCTTAATTTCTATATAATTTTGGTATACTGGTAAATTTAAACATAAATAATATTGTTTAATGAATTTCTATTAAACTTTGGACGGCTGTTTTTGAAAATTACTAAATGGAACATTATCTACAACGAAGATGAGTCTAATTAGATCATTTTGTTTTATTTTTACCTAAATACATCCTGAAAATAAGGGGAAATTCGAGCTTGAATACATTTATTTTTTATAATTTGACCGTGAACCCCCTCAAACACACACACACACAGAACAGACAATAGAAAGAACTTTTTTAGTGTCATAATAGTTGACAAATGGAATGCATTAGGAAGTGATGTGGTGGAGGCTGACTCCATACACAGTTTCAAATGTAGATATGATCCAGCCCAGTAGGCTCAGGAACCTGTACACCTGTTGATTGACGGTTGAGAGGCGGGACCAAAGAGCCAGAGCTCAACCCCCGCAAGCACAACTAGGTGAATACAACTAGGTAAGCACACACACACACACAGACAAAGGGGCGTTCCGGGCCCTATAAACAGCTAAGGTGAGACTCACACTTAAATATGAATCCCCCGCAGCACACACGACTTGACAATGGTCCAGGATAGACCGAAACGTCGTCGTCTCCTCATCGTGTAGTTTGGTCATCATATCTTCAGCCACGTTATTGTGACTCGTCGTCTGCCCCAGCGTGAAGCCCTTACCTGAAAAAGAACAAGGAGAAACTAGAAAAGGTCCAGAAATATGCAACGAGACTCGTTCCTGAGCTTAAGGGATCGAGCTATGAGGAAAGATTGAGAGAAGTGGATTTTACCACACAGGAGTAAAGGAATATGATAACATATCAGATTCTAAAGAGAACTGACACGGTAGACAAAACAAGTTTATTCAAAGCTAGGAACAGCAGAACGAGAGGTCAAAGATGAAAACTAGAGACGAAAATGAGTCACAGGGATGTCAGAAAGAACGTTGTAGGTATTATAGCTGTCACTAAGCGGAATAGGTTAGACGGGGTTTTTGTGTGTGTGATAATGGTATGATAGACAGAATACTTAGGAGATACAAGAATTTTGCCCTAAGAGTGTAACATTTATATGCTGTGCTTACTATATTAACCTGCAATGTTAAATGGGATTCTTGTACTGTTGTGATCTGTGTATTTGTACTCACTGAATTTGTGCGCCCCTTGAGGGATTTGAAGTGGAGGGGGGGGGGGGGAGGGTAGAAATAGCCTAAGCTACTCTATCACTTTGAGATGTATTTTTTTTCTTGTCTCAATAAACTTACTTGAACTTGGTTAGGCAGTGAAGCTAATTTGATTCGAAGTTTAAAATGTAAATATGATAAAAGCCTGAGAAATGAGTCATTACATTAATCTAAGAACGCCAGGAAGGCGAGGCTAGGAACCTAGCTCGACTTTGCAAGTGCATCTAGGTAAGTACGTTTAGGTGAGTGAGTACACGTCTAGTATATATTCAAAGAAGAGAACACATAAGGCGACATGATGACAACATACGAGATACTTATGGAAACAGACAAAGGAAGAATATTTTCCATATGAGAGACAACAGAACGAGGCGGCACAGGCGACATTGGGTAACAGAAACGATCCAACTATATATAAGGAAATCCTCATATGCAGTGGAAGTATTAAACAAGTATAATAAAGTTTAGCCAGTAGCGGTGGCAGCAGCCAAGAGCATGAACGAGTACTGGGACGTCGAGAGAGGCTGCAACCTACATAAGGCCAAAAATTGTCGTACTAGAAAATGGAAGCGGCTGGCGAAAGTGACGTACTGTCCCGTTTTCTGTTTCGGGTCCTCTTGTAGGTTAGGAGAAATGAAATGAAAATGTCCATAGAGTTGGCAAGCAGGGGATGGAAGAACGGGGCGAGGTTGCAGAAATCTTGAGCAAGGATCTGGAGATGAGGTGAAGAGGGGAGATGAAAGATCGGTGGCCCAACCACCGCGGATTAGAACTTGAGTAGATGGAAGTAGAATTGAGTAGGTTAGGAGAGGAAACTTTAAACTGACCGTTTTGTTGACGTTGGGAGACCTTAGGAGGACGGGCTGCGAGAGGTATATATGCACTATATACAACTAGGTAAGCACAACTGTGTCAGCTCACACACAGCTAGGTAAACACTCAGTAAGCTGAGTACCCAAATGAGCCACAGAGACATTAGAAAGAGCTTTTTCAGTGTCAGAGTAGTTAGTAAATGGAATGCATTAGGCAGTGATGTGGTGGAGGCTGACTCCATACCCAGTTTCAAATGTAGATATGATAGAGCCCAGTACATCAGTTGATTGACAGTTGAGAGGCGGGACCAAAGAGCCAGAGCTCAACCCCCGCAAACACAATTAGGTGAATACACAGAACCCGCTCCTCCTCCTCCTCCTCACCGAGGCTGTGAGTTAAGCCAGGGGTTATAAAACTGTCTATGCGGCGCTGCTCGGGTTAAGATACAAGCTTCCTCTTCGTGTCCTCGCCGGAAATCAGCCATTCCTGCAGCCCTAGGTGGTACCTCACCCGGGGGAAGGAGGGAAGGGGTATCTGAGGGCATTGTATAGGAGTGGCCGACTGCACAGAGCAAAGGGTGGCTCTTTGGTGGAGAGGTGGATGATTACTGGACTGACCAAATGGTGGCGGAATCGGCTGTTGCAGCGGTGAAAGGGGTGGAGTAGAGGGTGGAAGGAGTAGAGGTTATTGTAGTGGCTAGTGGAAATGAGAGTAAGGGGGAGGGGGAAGAGGGAAGGGGAGGAGGTAGGGGAAGGTGAAGGAGGCAGGGGGGAAGGGGAAGGAGGAAGAGGGAAGGGGAAGGAGGCAGAGGGAAGGGGAAGGAGGAAGAGGGAAGGGGAAGGAGGCAGAGGGAAGGGGAAGGAGGTAGGGGACGGTGAAGGAGGCAGAGGGAAGGGGAAGGAGGAAGAGGGAAGGGGAAGGAGGCAGAGGGAAGGGGAAGGAGGCAGAGGAAGGGGAAGGAGGCAGAGGGAAGGGGAAGGAGGCAGAGGGAAGGGGAAGGAGGCAGAGGGAAGGGGAAGGAGGTAGAGGGAAGGGGAAGGAGGCAGAGGGAAGGGGAAGGAGGTAGAGGGAAGGGGAAGGAGGCAGAGGGAAGGGGAAGGAGGCAGAGGGAAGGGGAAGGAGGCAGAGGGAAGGGGAAGGAGGCAGGGGGAAGGGGAAGGAGGAAGAGGGAATGGGAAGGAGGCAGAGGGAAGGGGAAGGAGGCAGGGGGAAGGGGAAGGAGGAAGAGGGAAGGGGAAGGAGGCAGAGGGAAGGGGAAGGAGGCAGAGGGAAGGGGAAGGAGGTAGAGGGAAGGGGAAGGAGGCAGAGGGAAGGGGAAGGAGGCAGAGGGAAGGGGAAGGAGGCAGAGGGAAGGGGAAGGAGGCAGAGGGAAGGGGAAGGAGGTAGAGGGAAGGGGAAGGAGGCAGAGGGAAGGGGAAGGAGGCAGAGGGAAGGGGAAGGAGGCAGAGGGAAGGGGAAGGAGGCAGAGGGAAGGGGAAGGAGGCAGAGGGAAGGGGAAGGAGGTAGAGGGAAGGGGAAGGAGGCAGAGGGAAGGGGAAGGAGGTAGAGGGAAGGGGAAGGAGGCAGAGGGAAGGGGAAGGAGGCAGAGGGAAGGGAAAGGAGGCAGAGGGAAGGGGAAGGAGGCAGAGGGAAGGGGAAGGAGGCAGAGGGAAGGGGGAGGAGGCAGGGGGAAGGGGAAGGAGGAAGAGGGAAGGGGAAGGAGGCAGAGGGAAGGGGAAGGAGGCAGAGGGAAGGGGAAGGGGGAAGGGGTTGGAGGCAGAGGGAAGGGGAAGGGGATAAGACACATGTCTTCACCTAGTACCGTCAGACAAATATAGAGTTCTGAGCACTGATAATACATCAGGTGCCAGCTGAACAATGTTGGAATTGTAAATCTTAACACGAACGATCTAAGGCTCATGATCTTAAACCAAACAAATAAATACAATATATAAATATAGATAATAAAGCAAATAAGAAACTGGGATTCATAAGTCTTCGCAAAACCTTATTGTCACTAATGTTATTCTTCACCTTAGTTTCCCCCTTCTTAAGCCAATAAATAATTATACAGTTGACCTTTAGTCTCGTAGTATAGAATTTTTTTTTTTCAGGGATATTCCTGCGCGGGCCCTAAGCTTCTGGCTGGCCCACTGCGCGGGCCCTAAGCCTCTGGCTGGCCCACTGCGCGGGCCCTAAGCCTCTGGCTGGCCCACTAAGTGTTGCTTGTTTCTGTTTTACTTGGGCAGAGTGGGAGTATTTATGACTCGTATGGTCGCTTCAGTAAGATTTTGTCCCATGTGTGTTTAACAACTTCTTCTGCTCTGTTGAATCTAAGTTGAAATCTTAATGGGTTTATAACTGTGCACTGTGTTAGATAATGTTCCAGTGGTCTGTCGTGGTTGTAACTGTGCACTGTGTTAGATAATGTTCCAGTGGTCTGTCGTGGTTGTAACTGTGCACTGTGTTAGATAATGTTCCAGTGGTCTGTCGTGGTTGTAACTGTGCACTGTATTAGATAATGTTCCAGTGGTCTGTCGTGGTTGTAACTGTGCACTGTATTAGATAATGTTCCAGTGGTCTGTCGTGGTTGTAACTGTGCACTGTGTTAGATAATGTTCCAGTGGTCTGTCGTGGTTGTAACTGTGCACTGTGTTAGATAATGTTCCAGTGGTCTGTCGTGGTTGTAACTGTGCACTGTGTTAGATAATGTTCCAGTGGTCTGTCGTGGTTGTAACTGTGCACTGTGTTAGATAATGTTCCAGTGGTCTGTCGTGGTTGTAACTGTGAACTGTGTTAGATAATGTTCCAGTGGTCTGTCGTGGTTGTAACTGTGCACTGTGTTAGATAATGTTCCAGTGGTCTGTCGTGGTTGTAACTGTGCACTGTGTTAGATAATGTTCCAGTGGTCTGTCGTGGTTGTAACTGTGAACTGTGTTAGATAATGTTCCAGTGGTCTGTCGTGGTTGTAACTGTGCACTGTGTTAGATAATGTTCCAGTGGTCTGTCGTGGTTGTAACTGTGCTCTGTGTTAGATAATGTTCCAGTGGTCTGTCGTGGTTGTAACTGTGCACTGTGTTAGATAATGTTCCAGTGGTCTGTCGTGGTTGTAACTGTGCACTGTGTTAGATAATGTTCCAGTGGTCTGTCGGG